ATGCCCACGTTGATGCCAGCGGCAAAATCCAGCTGAGTGTGTCCATATAATTGCTATTGCAATAAAAATAATGCGCATGGATTCCGTTCCTGTTTTAATATTTCTTTCAACCTTCATATTTCTATTCAGGCAACAGGTTCACAAATTACACACGTCACCTCGAATAATTCTTGCAGTGTCATGTACTACTATGATGTACGCACGAGCATTCCTTGTTGTATACGTCCCCTCCACCATGTCGGGGCGCATGCCCGTGAGTTGAACGTCAAGAGGCGTTCAGTCTGACATTTCACCTCTTACCGAGGCACGTATTATCGCAATTCTCAGCAGATGAGATCGTGAGCACCCAGTGCATGCCTTGCTCTTGCCTACTCGAAATTTTCAAAGCTGGCAAAGGGCACCATAAGGTGTTCAGACAGAAGAAACATTGATTCTGTGTGGTTAGACAAAGTTAATACAAGGCTAAAATACCCTTTTGATCTATTAGCGGTCTGGCTGTCTGCTCCTATGCTGCCTTTCTCAGCCGTGCCAAAACTAAAGAGACCCAGGAACGTGTTTCTTTGACGGAGGACAGTCGACTCACCATGCTGGACTATAAAAGGAAAGACTGTATTCTGCAAACCCTGCGGGGAAAAAAATTACATGGCTATGCTTAGGCAGTGGCGTTTTTGTACCATCATAAACTAATGCATGTGTAGAATAATATCCTCCCCCCACACACAAAAAAAGCCATAAACAGGGTTCATGCGGGTCCTTGAAATCCTTTAAAACTTTTGAATTTGAAAAGCTTGTTTTAAAAGTGCTGAAATTCTCACAAATTCTTGAAAATTTTTGAATTTATTTTTTTTAATAAACATTGTCACTTATTTCGCAGTGCATTATTTTTGATGCTGTAAATGTATCAGGTGGCATATGTAATGTGTCTATCATGAAAAAAAAAAACAAAACAAAACATCAGTAGTTTGTTCACGGAACCAACACCGCAAATTTCTGAAAACTCGGGAAGAGCAGGAGAGTGAAAAACAAAGCGAAATGTTGCATTGAGGAGCAGGTCAAAATGCTTACAAGAAAGAAAAAGAAACTAGAGGCTGCTGTTAGAGAATTAACAGCTACAGCACACTCATGCAGAAAAGGCAGAGAGAATTAAGGGCCTGACATGCATCATCAATTCATACAGCCTTAGGATTGCTGCCAAGACCATGCAGCAGGAGATAGTGGATATTGATTTGAAAATTCTGAAAAAGCAACAAAGTGTTGTGCAATAACTGTTCCTTAGTTTATTCTATCTGAATAGGAGTTTGTATCTAGTGCCACACAAATTGATTACCTATGCAATTTTAAGAAACGATTGAAAGTTGTCTAAAAAGAAAATGTCATTGGAGCCTTGTTCTTGACATCTATTCCAGTAATGTCCCTCTTTTTCTATCATTTCTAGTTATTTCAAGCTTCTATCCTTCCCTGAACATGTGTTAGTTGGCTTTCTAACAGACAGTGTGGACCTTGAAAATCCGCACACGTAGCCTTGAAAGTCCTTCAAAACTCTTCAATTTTTTTTTCATGTAAACGAGCATTAACCCTGCAAAGATGGCTTGTAAGTTCATGTGACCAATTGCAGTGTGTTTCTGAAGCATGTATGCTTCTAATATGCATATCTCCAGTTCAGAAAATTTCCAGATGGGAAGCAAGTTGTTCTTTTAAACCATTTTAAGAAAGCCAGGTTCTTTCTCTTTCGTGCAAAACTAGTAGGGGAAGGAATGGCTGACCAAAAGAAAGGAACACGTTTCTAAGATCTTGAGGAATCTTAGTGATAAAATATTAGTGTTCGTGCACAGCAGAGCAAGGCGTTTGTTGCTGGAGACCTAAAGCAACTAGCAGACATGTTTGGCATAAATTTCAAAACTGAAAGATCCACTGCCACCACCAGCAGAGAAATGTTAAAAAGAGGGGATGGCCCAGAGAACAAGTTTGTGATAATGTAGTGACTACTTAGGTGTATTGTAGACATATCTACATTTATTATCAGACAAACAAAGCAAGCCGTGGGAGAGTAGTCACCTGTAATGACAATCAGTATACTCGACAACATTCTACAGCACTGTGGAAGCTACAGAACTGAAGCGCATGCCTGCTACCAGACCAAAAAATAGTACAGTAGACTCTCGTTAAACAGGACTTGAAGGGACCAGGAAAATGTGTTCCGTTCAACAAGCTTTTCATTTACTGAGAGACCTACAGGGGTGCAGAATTCAGATATGAAACCGATCGTACTGAATGCAGTTGATCCATTTAGGCAGCAGTTTCACTGATTTCTTTTTACCGACAGTGTACTGTACTTAGGTTCACTGATACTTTTCTCAAAATAAATGCTGCTTTATTAGACTGAAATAGTTGCGGAAAATTGTAGGTAATATACAGTTATTGTTCACTTTGCAGGAATGCCTTCCTTTTATTTATGTTGCTTAGACAGCGCCACTTTTTCTGCACACTCATTTTCTGAAGTAAATATGGCATCTATGATATGGCGAGCCAGTTTGCGGCCGCGAATGGGCTGTTTAGTTCTCGAAGAAAGATATACTTGTACTACACGCTAAACTGTACAGTGAATCTATTTACATTTTCGCGAATATAATTTTCTGAACACATTAGCGAAGCAAGCAAGAAGAATCGATACTAGTCACAAGCTGCCGTACTACTTGCGTAGTAATACAAAAGTGTGAACGCCCCTCTTCCGTAGCCTTCGCTCCAATGTCAAGATAAGTTGTTGCCAAGTATAGAAGCCCAGTAGATCACCTGTTGGATGCCTACAGCTGTTTAGTGAAGCTGGTGGAGGCATAAAGGCTCACTGATTGCAGCCATGTAGCATCAGGCTCATCGGTAAGCTTCTTTGGCTGCAGTACAAGAGACCACATGTGTGCTGTTTACACTTGCACCAAACCAACAAATGGTGTTCCAGGAACTTCAGCAAGGCAGCTAAAAGGAACCAACTTTTTATGCAACCACTGCGCCATGCAACATTTCTTCTGTAAGGTGCTTGTATGCTTAGAAAACCGCAACACATATTGAAAATGTAGTGGAGAAAAAAAAATAAAATGAAAATAGTCTATGCAGTTATTGTAACGGCAGTAGATTTATGATTGAGCGGTAACAAATGCAACAAAGCAGAAATAGAAAGGTGCATTTGTAGGTTTAACTAAGTGTGCAGCAATGAGTTGTATCACTCGTGATTGATAGTATGAACTGCAAGGAAATATCGGCACCAATGCAAACGTATGCAGTGAAACCAGCACATGCATGTCTTAGTTACGCGATGCTATGGCTGATAGAAGAAATTCGATCCACACCAAGTGAACCTATAAGAGTGGGGACTCTTCACGAGTAAATTTTATATTGCGGTGGCAAAAATGTAAAGCTGCCAGTATATTTGTATTTACATCCTCACTTATAATTGAGGTACTGTGCCTTTTCTTCTTTAACATCCCCATCTGCCTTAGTGTTCGGTAAGTCTTCGTTAGAGTGGATGCAGTTTGATCTCCTTCCACAGCACCAAGACTGGTATAACTTGAGGTTTTTCTCCTATTAGTACCCAACCTCAGGACTAACGCCATACTTACCTACAGTTTATTTTATTTGAAACACCAGACTAATTGCTTCCATTGTGTTGGTTGGTTGTTATGTCGTTTGCACGCCTTTTTATCGAGGCCCACTTGTGTGCTGCAGCGTAGTGAGGCACCCAGAAAAAAGAACCATCCGTGTATCCAGAGACGTAATAAAATGCTGCTTGTCCATTTCTGTTTAATTTATATTAAAAAATTACCGCCTGGCGTTATTACGGAGAATGGCGCGAGTGGTTCAAAAATTTCGTTTTCGCCTAGTTGGACTGGGTAGATGGTGCCACCTAGCGGGGCCCAGTTGAACTGTTCAATGGCTGTGCATGCGGCTGTGGCTTTGGCTATTTTTGCTCTGCTGCTACAAGTGTCTGCAGACGCACAGTAAAGGCGGGAAATGTCGGGCATGGCAACAGTGATATCAGAAAGACCGCTTTCAGGCGGGTGATTTGAAGTGTGGTAATGTGATGCATACCGCTAAAACATGATTTTATTTCAAAATAAGCATTTTATTGGCTCAAAAGTACCACTATGAGGTTTGTGTACCGATATTTCAACAATTAACATCGACTTATTATTTGTCTATAGTGTCCCTTAAAGACCACAGAGTTCTTTTCAGCCCACTAGCATTACCTTTTGTTTTTAAAAACTTGGTTTCTTTTAGCTGAGTTATCCTGCCTATGAGTATGTGTGGTAACACATAGCTCCTCTCTGTTTGATGCATGCTAACGTTTTCATGATCTTAAACCTTATCTGTGAATTTGTTCTCATAAAAGTGTAAGCACTAATGTAAAGATAGCAAATAACCGCCAGAGTATTGACTGCCAGAAATATGTGTATTATGAAACTTCAGTAGGGAACACTGGATTAAGATTTGGCGCAAAAAGCCTTGCTCCCAGTAAACAGTGCAAAAGTGCGCCTACTTTTACTCCCCTTGGAAGTGCTGCGGCCACTGCTAAATTTAACCTTTCAAATTTGTACTTGGTGGAGTGTAAGCACACTATGCATGCACAGGGGTGTAGCAGTCATTTAATTAAAAAGCATTAGCAGCTACTAAAGATGTTAGTGCTGTATTCTACCCTGCGATGATTATGTTTTGTGTTCTGGTAAGTGGTTTTTCTTTAACAGTTTTGCTGTTTTCTGACTACATTTTGCTGATTTTGGTGTATGGACTAAATTGACTGGTACTGTTTTTAATGTTGATGCTTGGATTAACCTACCAGTACATGGCCTATCTGCACTGGCGCTTTGCTCATATCAAGATTAAATACTAGTTTCATGCTCAGATTATTTTTGTGGCACTCAGATCAAAGTTAAGGAGAAAACCTGTAGCATTGGCACACTTAAGAGTCTCATATCCATGTAGTAGTGGTTACTTGCTGGTGATGTGTGCAGGCAAAGCGGCTTATCAAGGGCGACTCAAATCGTGATTTGGGTATCTTCGAACGTTTTTTTGCGGGTTCCCTTGCTGGCAGCATCGCCCAAACAAGTATCTACCCTATGGAGGTGAGCATCTGCACTATCTAGTGCTCTATTCACATGTTTTGAGGCTTTGTCTGTGGTTTTGTTTTTTAAATTTGTCAGTTGTACTTGTACAAATGTTTGCATGTGCATAATTCTGCAGCCTTAATTCTTTAACCAAATGGTTGATTTAAATACTGTTGTTTTCTCATTAACATTTGTAGTATTTTTTGGCATGAATACTAAGTACCTATAGCCTTGGTGAATTGGTAGGTATGCCGTGCATACATATATGCAATAGTTTTCAGTGTTCCATGCTGTGTCCACCAGATAAGTGACTCACTTTAACATAAATGCTAGCTAAACCAAACATAACAGTATAAATTTGGTTGCCCACCTATAACTACAATATTTAACCCTTTAATGATAATTGTACCACATATCCCTTTTGATCCCAAGTTAAGTTTTCATGTTCTTATCTAGTTAAGAAGTATTGATAACCATGAAAAAAGTAAAAATATTAATAATAATAAGGATATTCATAAGCAATGTTTCTTGAGTAGTTCGAACATCATTAATACCCCACCACCACAGGCGCTGAGGAGGAGATGCGGACATCTGTCGACACGAAAAACCGCATCATTAACTGTCTGCCTCATTTCGAACGTTTTTGGCTGATTATGGCTTTGATCAGTCTAAAAAAAGTGCGAGTGAGTGTCTGAAGTTGCCAGGTTCACTCGTACGCCAAATTCACCCCGGTGGGTCCACATTTATGCATTTTATCTGGGATTTTGTGTTCGTGTCACGTTGGCAGCAAGCTAGGCCTCTCCCCTAATGGGCCTAGTTCGGCAAGGTGTATACCCGCCCTTTGCGCCAGGCGCGAGACGCGAATGGCGTCTACTACCGACTACCGACAACTCTGCAGAGGATCTACAAGCAATGTTGGGTGCTTCATCCACATCTGTTGAACAAGAGATAGCAGCATACGAAGACGTGGGTTTCGCGGCAAACAACACGGGTTGGAAAGTGGTGAGCAGCCGGAAAACGAAGAAGGAACGCGCCGAAACAACTGCGCCACTTATGCAGCAAGAAAACCATCCAAGCAGCCGACAGGTGAGCTCCTCTCGGACGCCTCCTAACATCATGAATCGTGTGATCAGAGCCTGATGCATGCTATCCTTACCGGAAGACAACATCAGGATAGTGTTTCACCCAAAGGGTGGCTCGAACATACAAAAGGTCAGACCTATCTTGGTGAGCGAAGCCCTTGTAACAGCAGCAAATCTTCATTCAGTTCAGACCATGGAAGACATTATTTGTCCCAAGATAATGCAGAATATCATGGTGGCGAGCACACCATTTAGAGAAAATGCAGATAAGTACGCGAGCGTAGGGGCTATTCAGATAGCCAGAAAAAAGTACGAGGTAAGCACTTACAAAGCTGCCCCAAGTGACACCTGCAAAGGGGTAATTCGACATATCGACGCTGCTGACGACCATAAGACGATTTAAAGAAACATCGTGAACGCTTGCAACCCCTTGGCACTGGCGGCGAAAAGAATCAAGAACTTAAGATCAGTGATCGTTGTGTTTGATGGACTTCGGGTCCCGAACGTCAGATATGGACTTACTTTGGTACCCTGCTACTCATATCGCAGACACGTAGACATATGCTACGTCGACCATCGGGCGGACGTTTGCCCTGACTTGGGCTCCACCGAATGCAAAGGCTGCGGAATTTCTAACCCAACATCATCGCATGTGTGCGATCGGCAATGCAAGCTGCGCGGTGGCTTGCACATGACGGCGGACAAGGTGTGCTCGAAAGGCTATCTCGTCCTGTATGCAGTGCGCGCACGATGACAATTGGAGCAGCAAGGTTAGGCAGAGCTGAAGGAAGACAAGCAACCGACAAGCAAGGTTGATCTATGTCGAAGACGTTGACACGCAGCTCGCGCTCTCGATTGCAGAGCGGCACACCTACGAAGACATCGACCACAAGCAGGAGTCGCTCAGGATCACAGGTACGTTTCGTGGGAAAGAACAACAAAGGAGACGGCACGTGGGCGGATAAAGTCAGAGGCGCCACGGCGACTATGCCGAAGGAAGATTGTGAGTTCTGCAACACTGATAAAGAACGGAGAGCTATGTTAGAACAGGAGTTAAGAGAGCTTAAAGTGGCCTATATTTAGCTAATTCACGAGTTATCCGAAGCACGTAAAGGAAACAGCAGTACGCCAACGAGCATTCCCGAATCACCAACCAATATCGAAACTCCCCAAGCATTTGAGATTGCGAGACAAGGAGAACATCGCGAAGAATCACCCGCACCAAAGAAGCGAGCTGTAACGCAACTGCAATGGTCGTGCAATCAGACGTCAAGGATGCCATGAGCGAGAATATGAGACTAATGAACTAGAGCATGATGTAAATGAATAAGAAAATGGACATGTTTAACACGCAAGTTCAAGAAATGGAAATGTATATGAACAACGCGCTAGTACCTGCCATGGAGACGATGAAGTCACAGCACATCGGCGCGCATGGCCCTCTGCAAGTTGCTTTCACTGCAAGCGAAGGAGGCTATGATGGTCAACATGGCAGTGACAAATAGGACACGAAATTTCCGCATCTGGCAATGGAACTAACTGCAGGGGGATCACGCCAAAAAAGGTGGTCCTCCTGCCGATGGTTAAATCGGAAACCTAGAAACCACACATAATTTTACTGCAAGAAACACTCACAATGAAACTTACCCTTGCGGGTTATAAGGCCAAAACTTACAGAAACGAGCAAGGCAGAGGCATTGCTATTCTGATTGGCAAGAAGATCCCGTACATTCCCCATGAAATCAATCACACAGCCTACTACCTAGAACACGTCACGATCGAGATTATACCTAATGACCAGGTAGGGAACAAGCAAAGCATCTTTCTCACTAATTTGTACAACAGCCCTAAGGACACAAGGCAAGGGTTCAGAAGCATGCTCGGCAAGATCGCGAGCATTCCAAAAGATTGTCCCCTAATAGTAGGTGGCTATTTTAATGCCCCACACCATGCATGGGGCTACGAATATTTCTCTAGCAAAGGTGAGCGCCTTCACATGACCGCGACACTATACTGGACTTGACTTTCGTCCTGGACATTGAAAAATGCGGCTGGTGTAACTCGGGCATAGACCTTGGCAGCGGTCACTACATTCTCCGAATTGATGCAGAACTCCCAGGAAAGAAGCAAAGGTAGTACAAACTAAGTGATTGGGACAAATTTCGCAAGATACGAATGCAGTCATCAAATTCATCAGGAGAAACCACAAAGCATACGATAGCAAGTTGCACTGAACAGCTCAAAACTGATATTGCAGCCTCAGAACGAACGATTACCACGGACGTTAAGGTGGAGAGAATGGACAGCCGGAAAACAAACATTCTTGAAGGCAAGCACTTCATATCAGCCAGGAGGAAGGGTCAGCGACTCGATCGAAGAGTGCGAAAGAAGCTCGCTGAACTCAACAAAACCATTGAAGAATACTGTGTGGTTCTTTCCTGACAGCAGTGGGACGAAGTTTGCAACTCCCCCAACGGGTAAATACGAAAAGGGAGGGGATGGAGGCTCATAAAACAGCTCCTCGACAAAAATGGCACCAAGTCCAAATTTGCGCAGCGCATCAGGCTCAGCAAGTTAGTACACTGCGCAACGCAACATAGTGCTGCCGAAGAAGTTGTTGACGGCCTTGCTAAACGCTACCTACCGCTTGAATTAGGACAATTCAGTATGTCATCGCGGAAGATCTATGACAGTGCCCCAAACTCGGGAGCTCGACGCGGACTACACAGACAGTGAAGTCCGCTACGCAATCAACTAACTTAACAGCAACTCTACGGCCACCCCCGATGGCGTCACGAATCGGGCTCTCCGAAATTTAGATGACGATCCGGTCACGTTAAGTGAACAAATCAACGAAGCCTGGAAAACCGGCCGTTTACCTGTAGAATGGAAGCCTGTAAATACGGTCCTCATTCCAAAACCTGGAAAGCTGCTGGGGCTATTAAACATGAGGCCAATCTCACTAACGTCCTGCATAGGAAAGGCAGCTGAACATGTCATTCTGCAGCGACTGACAGAGTACGTCGAAGGAAAGGAATACTTCCTCTACACTATATTCGGATATAGGCCGGTTTTATCAGCGCAAGACGCCATGCTGAGAATAAATAAAAGTCTCCTGGATCGCCCCACACGAGATATCAACACTCTGCTGGGTCTTGACGTGGAGCAAGCTTTTGACAACATCCGACATCAAGCCATTCTGACCGCTATATCTGAACACAATCTTGGCACACGTTTCTATCAATACGTCAATGCTTTTCTAAAGGATCGAACGGCCACTCCACGGATAGGCGAGCACGTCTCTAAAAGCTTTGAGCTGGACGATAAGGAACACCGCAAGGTTCGGTACTTTCGCCATTCTTATTCAATTTGGCTATCGCGAGATCTCTTGAGCACTGGGAGAAATAGCAGATGGGAAGCATACCATCTACGCAGATGATATCACCATTTGGAGCACTAGTGGCAGCGATTCAGAGTAGATGCCTGCATGCAAGACGCAATCTTAGTCACCGAAGCACATCTCACCCCAATGGGACTTCGCTGCTCTTCCAGAAAATCTGAGCTGCTTATCTACCATCCTCCCAGACAAGGACGCCCATCAATAGACTGGCGCAGACCTGTCCCTCCAAGCATAGAGTTACGTGATTCTGACGGCAACCGCATAACTACGCTCGACAAAATTCGCATCCTTAGACTCGCCATCCAAAGTAATGGTTCCAACTCGGTGATGCTGGTCAACATCACATTCAAGATTGGGAACGCGCTTGAATGTTTCCGCGCATTATGAATCTGCACAGAGGGCTGGGTGAGGATAACGCCATCAGAATGGTCCACGCCTTTGTTCTCTTTCACATCACATACGTGGCTGCGATGCTGAACTAGCAAAAAGTAGCAAAAGCTCGAAGTACACATACGGCACGCTTTTAAGACAGCGTT